ACACACACACACACACACACACACAGACAGGCGCACAGACGCACATGCGCGCACATGCCAACGTCGACGTGCACTCACAGCCTGTCGAGGATCTTCTGCTCAAAGTCCACCAAGTACTTCTCCTGTTCCTCTGGGGTCATGTCACCCTGCCTCAACCGTTCATAGAGCGCCGCTTTCGCCTTGAGCTTCGCTTCAACCTGTACTAGGCTCTGGCCCTCCTGCTCCTGCTGCAGTACATCTCGCCTGTGCCGCTCCAACACGCCTTTGTTCTGCTTGATCCAGCCCGCTGCACGCTTCGACTTGCGCTGCTGCAGCCGCTCATCCCGTGCTGATGGGTCGTTTTTCTCTCGCACGTACTCCTCCTGCTTCCGCGCAAGTTCTGCCTTCAGGTTCACCAAGCTCGCCGTGTTCACGTTGTTTCCTTGCGCCTGCCGCGCCGTCGAGCTGGGCCATCGCGACGACGACGACGACATGATGCGGGTGTGCGCGGTGAACGTTCGCTGGCCTGTCGCCGTTATGGTGTGAGCTTGGGTGAAAACGCGCTGCACAAACCAAGGAGTTGAGGCAACAGAGGGAGAGAGAGAGAGATGAGGAAGCTGCGCAGGCAGAAGAAGCACGTGATTATGCTTGTGTGTGATGTGTGATGTGTGTGTGATGAGTGTGTGAGCTTGTGTAAGTGATATGTGGCGGAGTCTCTCTTCCACTCTCTCCTGCTTCTTCTCGTCCTCCTTCTTTCTTGTCCCAAGTCGCTCGCTTGCCTCCAATCTGTCTGTCTGCTGTGCACTCGCCGTTGCTTGTGAGTGTGTTTGTGCTTGTCCCAACAGCTGCCTGCCTGCCTCACTCACTTGTTGCTTGTTGCTTGCGTGTGCTCTGCCTCAGCAGCCAGCTTTGCGAGAGAGAGAGTGTGTGTCAGCCTTGTTGCTTGCTTGCCCAACTCACAACCAAAAAAAAAGAAGCAAGTGGGGCATGCCAGGATCGAACTGGCGACCTCAGGATTGCTCCTCAAGCGAGGATCATATCATTAGCGGATTATGAGACCTGCGCGCTAACCAACTGCGCCAATGCCCCCGGGGTTTGCTTGCCCGAAGTGGCAAAATTTGTTCATCTCAATCATGTGCGTCAACTGTGTGCCTTGTTTGTGTCCGCTGCTTTCATTATTTGCGCAGCGTTCCAGCCAGTACAGAAGAAGAGAAGAGGACAAGAAGCAAGCAACTAAGAAGCAAGCAAAAGAGCAGACCCTACCAAGACAGGAGCAGATCGAAGCGCTAGCAGAACAGAAGACATCAACGACATCACGACACACGACAAGACAATAGCAAGGGGCAAGAGAGGGCAAGACAGGGCAAGAGAGGGCAAGAGAGTCTGCGACGTCCCACCCAAAACCCCATCAAGGGAAGTCAGCAACCACAACAGCCATGTCCGTTGGAGAGGAGAAGGTGTTGCAGGCCTTGTTGGCACACACGGCGCTGGAGGATGAGGTGAAGGACACGATTAGGTCGATCGCCGACAACACATGTCGTGACTTTGTTCGGTGAGTGCAAGCAAGCGGTTGGAGAAACAGGACACGGGTGATTGTTGCCTCACTTATGTTCGTGAGCTTGTTAGATCTTGCGTGTTGCGTCTTGCGTGCATGGGTACAGTTGCACAACCTAGACCCACGAAGAGCGCTCGTCACACATAAAGTCTCGTGCTTGCTCCTCGTGTCATCCTCGTTCTCTTGCTCATCGTCCACGATTTGGCATCACAGCCTGCAGAGCGCTGGTCTCGGCAACAGCGGGGCGCGTGCGGTAGCCGAAGCGCTCAAGGACAACATCTGCTTGAAATGGCTTGAGTGCGTGGTGATATGGACTGCATTCTATCGCGTGACACACATGGCTGATTGGGCTGATGTTGCGCGCTGCACTCTTTCTCCCCTTGCATTCGTGTCTCTTTTCGTTACGCAGTTTGATATGCCCACTTTTGATCTCTGCTGTCCGTGTGCGCAGTCTAGCTTGCAACCACATCGGCGATCAGGGCGCTGTGATGCTGGCGGAAGCGCTTAAGCACAGCACGACCTTGGCGGGACTCGAGTGAGTGCTCACATACATGCGTTGAAGGGACACGAGTTTGAGTGCTACATATTTGCGTCGCTATGCGTGCACATGTGCAGGCCCATCGGCTGTTTGGCTGCTGGCCGCTCATCGTGCCCGTGGCGGCGCACTCAACCCGTGTCTCGGATAATCAATCATCATCGTCATCATCACACTCACTCACTCACTCACTCACTCACTCACTCCACTCACACACACACACACACACACACTCTCTCTCTCTCTCTTGTCTGCACAGCTTGAGGGATAATTCAATCCGTAACGAGGGCGCAATGGCACTGGCGGAAATGCTTAAGCACAACATGCCCCTCGACCTACTTATGTGAGTGCAAGTGCCTATTGAATGGAGTGTCTATGCTATACCGTTGTCGCTACATTCCCCATGGGAAACTCGACCCGAGACACAGTGAGTCACGCATGACGTGTTTAGCTGCGTCGTGCTTCAATTCATCACTGCGTCATAAGAGCGCGCGCGACTGGTGTTACTTCTTGTGCTTTGCCACTGTCTCATTCGTGGCTCTGCTTGCTGCTTGTCTTTCGATCTCATTCCGCTTTCCCTCAACATCTTCCCGTGAACCTGCTTGCCACCCCAGCTTAAGCAACAACTCCATCATGTCAGTTGGCGGTACGGCGCTGGGTGCTGCCCTTCACCGAAATCGCACCCTGGAACGACTCTGGTGCGTCGATTGCGCTGCAGCTGTCTCGTGTGTCTCGTGTGTCTCGTGTGTGTGTGTGTGTGTGTGTGTGTGTGTGTGTGTGTGTGTGTGTATGTGTGTGTGTGTTTGTGTGTGTGTGTGTGTGCGTGTGTGTGTGCGTGTGTGTGTGTGTGTGCGTGTGTGTGTGTGTGTGTGCGTGTGTGTGTGTGTGTGTGTGTGTGTGTGTGTGTGTGTGGTGATGAATCGCTGCTCCCAGTCACGCTACGATACGCCTTGCTCCCCTGTGTCACACCGGTCTCACTTCTCACCAACACGAGTCCTTGATACTCCCGCACCGCAACACTCACCTGCCTGCTGCCATGTCCTGGTCACTGACCAACGCTCTAACCCTTGAACTACACCCGTGTCTTGAACATCCTCACCGCGTGTTTGTCAACCATTCAGGGTCGAGAACAACTCCACCGCCACAGCCCGCGCCTTTGGTGCCGCGCTGCCCGTCAATCGCGCGGTGATCACAAGCTGGTCAGTCCACATTCCGACTTGCAGCTGCAAGCGCTTGCTTCCTATCCACACCCAGCTCGCTTCTCCTGTCCACACCTCACACTCCACTCTTTGATTGTGATGATTACTCCCCATCCCCAACATCTTGTGTGATCAAAGGGACCAGCACGACGAGAGCCTGACCGCCTTTTTTGCAGCTCGCGAAGAGAAGAAGCAGCAACTTGAGCAACTGTTTGCCGCCTGCAAGAGCGGCGACGCTCCAGCTGTCACCTCTTTCCTCACCCAAGACAACACAGACATCAACCAACAAGACGAAGAGGTGTGTGCACGTGCGAACTCGTATTAACATGCGTCAAATATTCATTGTAACGGGGCGTGTGGGCTTGTATCCACGGGATTCTCACTTCAAGTCCCTGCTTCTCCATTCAACTGCAGGGCGACACGCCACTGCACGTTGCCTGCAGGCACAATCAGTCCGCCATCGTGAAGAAGGTCCTTGAGAAGGGCGCAGACACTTCCATCAAGAACAAGCAGGTGTGCTTCCCTTCGCATGCTGATGTCGATGCTGTCGATGCGCTACCTCACTTGCGTTGTCTGCTTTGGTTTGCTTGCACTGCATCCTCTTCGCCAGCTTATTGCTTGCTGTTGTTTTCACAATCGGCCACATACAGGGAGATACACCGTTCGATGTGGCGACAGCCAATGATCACACTGCCATCACCAGCATCCCAGGACTCAACCTTGAGAGCAAATCCCAGGAACGACAAGTGGAACGGCCACAACAACAGCAACAGCAGCAGCAGGAGAAGAACAAGGAGGAGGAGAAGAACAAGGAGGAGGAGAAGAACAAGGAGGAGGAGGAGGAGGAGGGGGAGGAGGAGGAGGAGGAGGAGGGGGAGGAGGGGGAGGAGGGGGAGGAGGAGGAGGAGGAGGAGGAGGAGGAAGAAGACCCGCCTGCGTCCACCCGTTCCACCAAACCGAAGCAAGACGAATGAATGAGCAGCGCGCAAGGCGTGAGTGATCAGACATTGTTTGCATGCAAGCAACGCGGGCAATGCAGGCACACGCGTACATCGCACCGCTCGTGTCACTCGTGCTCTTCATGCCCTGTCCTCTAACACGGTGTCGCTCACCAGAACGACGACCACAGCTGCGCCCCATGATCCAGGACCTGCGCCAGATCATCTCCTCCACAGCACTGGCACAGGAGTGCGTGAGCCAGGAGGTGGCTGTGTCCTACCTCCACCTCTACGACAAACTGATGGCACTGAGCAAGGACGAGAAGCGACCGCTGCTCACGATTGATGGGGTGGTGGACATTGCGCGCACATGTGGGCTGCGCACACGTGAGGAGACAAGAGCGTGCCTCCAGTTCCTGCACCTGTACTCAATGGTGTTGTGCTACGACAGCGTACCAGGCATGGAGGACCATGTGATCCTAGATACGCAGTACAATGACGCGCGTCATCCGCACCTTTGACCTGCACCGCGATGTGCGTGATGGAGAGTCGAGGGCCGTTGGCGCGCAGCTGTGGGATGACTTAGTTGACCGCGGCATCCTGCATTGTCGCTTGCTCGACGTGTCGTGGAGGGACGTGGACAGCAAGTTGGTTGACCCGTTCCCTGCGCCTAGTGATGCAGTACGGGCTGTGCATTGACTACTCTCCACCCAAGCTGGTCGACAGCCGCAGAGCGCTCGCTTGCGCCAACTCCGGCCACGGTGACAACGATGCGAGCCAGAGCAAGGGCAGCAGTCCCGGGCACCAGCAATACCTGGTCCCAGCCATCCTGCCGATGACGATCCGCCACAGCAGCAGCACGATGGCATCCGTGTCGCTGAGCACGACAGCAGCACAGCAGGTCAACCCGTATCTTGGGCACGAGGAGAAGACGGCCTACGTCGCCTTCAGCCTGAAGCAATTCAAGCGAAGTGCGAGCGTGTGTGCTGGAGACGCACAGCACGCGTCTTTCCTGCCCGAGGGGCTGTTTACCGTGGTGCTGGCGCATGTGATGGCGCACGCGCAGCACGGCGCATCTCAGGCGCCCAAGCTGAGTCGCACCCACGCCGTCTGCTTCATGGAGTCGACCAAGCTTGAGCTGCAGCTTGTGCCGGCTGTTGGCGGCATCAAGATGAAGATCACGAGTGCGCAGCCAGGCGCCATGCTGCACATGCTGCACACCATGATCAGCGAGGCCGCCAGAGAGCGCTATTTTGAGCTGAAGAGCAGCCTCCTGCTGCCATTTGACGACAAGATGCTTCTGTTCTTTGAAGATGTGTTGTACCACCACAAGAGCAAGCAGGACATGTGGGTAGACGAACAGCTGCTGCCGCCCGATGACCTTGTCGCCAAGTATGGCCGTCTCTTGCCCGTACTCGGCCTGCAGGACAAGTACGACGTCTTCATCAGCTACAGGTGAGCTGTCTGTGTGTGTGTGTATTGCGCGTGTATGTGTATGTGTATGTGTATGTGTGTGTGTGTGTGTCGCTGCAACCTACCACCACAACTTCCCCTCCTCACACCAACCTCCACCACCACCACCATCACCACAGGCAACGCGCCAACATGGTGATGGCGCTGCATCCGCGCTTGGAGCAGCATAACCTGGTTGCGTTCCTGGACGCCAACAACCTGGAGACGGGCCTCAACTTCAAGCTGTCGTTCATGACGGCGATTGGGCTGAGCCTGGTGGCCTGCCCCATCGTCTCTGCTGCCACCATCATGCAGATGAGGCAGCTGCAGCACAGCGACTACTATCCTGCGGTGTGTCGTGATGTCGTTGATGTCTTCTGTTCTGCTAGCGCTTCGATCTGCTCCTGTCTTGGTAGGGTCTGCTCTTTTGCTTGCTTCTTAGTTGCTTGCTTCTTGTCCTCTTCTCTTCTTCTGTACTGGCTGGAACGCTGCGCAAATAATGAAAGCAGCGGACACAAACAAGGCACACAGTTGACGCACATGATTGAGATGAACAAATTTTGCCACTTCGGGCAAGCAAACCCCGGGGGCATTGGCGCAGTTGGTTAGCGCGCAGGTCTCATAATCCGCTAATGATATGATCCTCGCATGAGGAGCAATCCTGAGGTCGCCAGTTCGATCCTGGCATGCCCCATTTGCTTCTTTTTTTTGTGAGTTGGGCAAGCAAGCAAGCAAGCAAGGCGAAGCAGCGGCTGACACACACACACACACTCTCTCTCACAAGGTTGGCTGCTGAGGCAGAGCACACGCAAGCAACAAGCAACAAGTGAGTGAGGCAGGCAGGCAGCTGTTGGGACAAGCACAAACACACTCACAAGCAACGGCGAGTGCACAGCAGATAGACAGATTGGAGGCAAGCGAGCGACTTGGGACAAGAAAGAAGGAGGACGAGAAGGAGCAGGAGAGAGTGGAAGAGAGACTCCGCCACATATCACTTACACAAGCTCACACACTCATCACACACACATCACACATCACACACAAGCATAATCACGTGCTTCTTCTGCCTGCGCAGCTTCCTCATCTCTTTCTCTGTGTGTGTGTGTGTGCTGGTTCTCCCTGCTTCCCGTCCATCCACACTGACAGCCCTCCAGATAGCCAACCATGTCCTCTGGACAACATCGGCCCCTACATGAGCAGCTGAGAGCGGTGCGCCTAAAACCCACGACCGCCAGGCTCGCAGCCAAGAAGCCACAGCCAGTGCGCGGCCTCGTCGCAGATGCACATGACGATGTCATCACTGATGCCGCATTCAGCTACGACGGTACAGTGTGCGTGTGCGCGCGTGTCTGTGTGCGTGTCTGTGTGCGTGTCTGTGTGTGCGTGTGTGTGTGTGTGTGTGTGCACGCGTACGATGGTCAGCTCTTCTCTCCTCCACTCTTCCCTCTGCTCTTCCTCCCTCCCTCTCTCAGTCTCGCCTCGTGACGCTCGTTCCTCACTTCGTCCAACACTTCAAATGGTTCATCTGTCAGGCACCCGATTGGCCACTGGCAGTGCCGATGGCTACGTGAACATCTTTGACCTCGTGGACGGCCGCTGGATTCGCTCCCAGAAGAGACCTGTAAGTTGGCTGGCGTTGACCTGGCGTTTGGTGGTTTCTCTGCTCACCTCTGCTTACCTCTGCTTACTTCTTCTTACCTCTGCTTACCTCTGCTTACCTCTGTTTCAGTTCCTTCACACAGAGAGAGAGAGACAGACAGACAGACAGAGACAGAGACAGAGACACACACACACACACACACACAGACACTCACACGCTCACACGCTCACACAATGTCACTCACTGTTACCTTTGCGGCTGGCAGGAGCTCGGCAGTGCCGTGTCGAAGCTGGCGTGGGCGCACCCATATTATGGTCAACTGATTGCTTGTGCAGGATACCGAGGGCACCTGAGCATCTTCGCTGAAGAGCGTGCGTGCGCTATGTGCTGCACACGCATGCGTGTGAACAACTGCACGTACATGTGTGCATGTGTGCGTGTGAACAAGTGCACGTGCGTGACTGCTTGGACATGTTCTCTCTAATCTCTCCCAACCCACTTGTGCGACCACTGCCGCCCTCCGCAACTGACTGCACTGCAGCTGGAGCCGAGCTGCAGCAAGGGCAGATGACGTGGGCAGCCCGCATGGACTTTTCCGACACACACGCGATCACAGACCTCCGCTTTGCGCCCCAGCAGCTCGGCCTTATCCTCGTGCGTATGCGTTGTGTGAATGTGTGTGTGTGTGTGTGTGAATGTGTGTGTGTGTGTGTGTGTGTGTGTGTGTGTGTGTGTGTGTGTGTGTGTGTGGAAAGTGGGTGTGTGGAAAGTGGTGAGCGAGTCAGTGTGAGTTGGTGTGAGTGTGTGTGCGTGTGTCAGCATGTGAATGCAAGGCGTTCGTGTGTGTGTGTGTGTGTCACCGAGTGAGCATGCGGTTGCATGGTGTGTGGAGGGTGCGACACGATGTGCGTGCTTTGCACAGTGCTTGCGAGTTCACTCACACCCTTTGTCCTCTCCATCATATCGCCCGTCCCCAAACCCTCGCAGGTTGCATGTTATGCCGACGGGTTTGTGCGTTTTCTCAAGGCCGAGGCCCCATTTGAGCCTGTCGAGTGGCGCGTTGTGGTGAGTCGACAGTCATGCATCCAATACACAAGCATCATTCTTGCTGCTGCTACTGCCACATCTTCCCAATCGTGCAGCGTTTCATGTTATGCATCCTCCCAATTGTGCCACCTCCCAATCGTGCATGTGCCACCCTCCTCTCGTCCTCTCATGGCACGGTGCAATGGTGCAACGGTGCAACGGTGCAGGTGTCTGCGAACCTGCGCGGGTCTGGGGTGCCGACTGTGGACTGGTGCGAGCGGCGGACGTGGGATTACGTCATGGCGCTCGGCGCACGCGAGGGCGACCACGGTGTCCGCCTCTACCACTACGACCAGGAATCCCTGTACGCTTCTGTAGAAGAGTGCGTGTGTGTGTGCGTGTGTGTGTGCGTGTATGTTGTGTGTGTGTGTGCGTGTGTGTGTGTGTGTGTGTGTGTGTGTGTGTGTGTGTGTGTGTGTGTGTGTGTGTGTGTGTGTGTGTGTGTCCGTGTGTGTCCGTGTGTGTGTGTGTGTGTGTGTCCCCGTGTGCACATGTGATTGTGCAACGCCAATGTGTGGTGTGTTTTACCACACATTCCTTGTTCCTTTTCACCCCATCCACCGTCCTTTCACCCCTCCTTTCGCCCGTCCCTTCACCTGCGTTCTTCACCGCAGGGAGCTTGACATGGCTGAAAAAGTTCAAGCTGAGCCTGCCACCAGCATCGCCTTTGCGCCAGCAATGGGCAGGTCCGTGGCCATGCACGTGTGTGTATATGTATGTGCACGCATCTCCGTGTACGAGCACGTGTGTGTGTGTATGTGTGTGTGTGTGCGTGTGTGTGTGCGTGTGTGTGTGAGCACGAGTTTATATGTATGTGTATGTGTGCATGCTCGCCAAACGCACACATGTACATCCCAAGTACACCCGTGTATACATGCCCAGCATGCCCTTCGTTCCGTTCCTTCCCTTCCCTCTCCGTTTCCGTTTCCGTTTCCCCTTCCCCTTCCCTTTCCCTTCCGTTCTCCTTCCATTTCCTCCTACCTCATCTCACCCCCCTCCCCTCCCAATCCGCAGGTCATATCTGCTGTTGGCGGTGGCCATGCCAGACGGAGTCGTGCGCGTCCACAAAATACACAAGTCCGCTGATTATGATGATCCTGATGTGACTGTCGTTGTTGATTGTTGCCTCGTGAATTCACACCCCCGCCCCCACACACACGCACACACCGCTCTCCCTCCCACCGTTTTACCACATCACCATCAACGTCACCTGTACTCATGTTCATCCCTTCTCCTCGTCCTCGTCCTCCTCCACCTCTAATTCCATTCGACTGCACGGCAGGGTGCGGATCAAGGGTGCGCCGCCCAAATACCGACCGGAGCTCATCTTCGATCGCCATTTGCACAAGGGCATGGTGAGGCCATGCTGGCACACCCCACATGCCAACCCC